GGTCCGGGGAGTACAAATTGCTGGATGGCTGCACTGACACAGGATGGGTTTGCGTTGGCAATGAAATACGGCAGTCATCCCACATTATGAGCTACAAGTTTATGTAATTTATATTGTCGCTCGTCCAGCAACGTCAAGGCTCTGCATGTAAACACAGGAGAACACCATAATAATTATACTACTCTGGGGATAATAATTATAATTTTGGCTTATCAATTTCTTGACATTTATGAGTTCCTGTCTAAACCATGCCGTGATATTGATTGCTATCTGCTCACAAAGTACCTCGTATTGTAACAATACTCTGCTTAATCACTACCCTCTGTCAATTATTAGATTCGCATAATATTCACAACATATGCAACACGATGCTGTCTATTGACACTACTTCGAACTGAAATGCTCACTTCTCGTCTCCCGTTTGCAACTCCCTCTACCTTATGAATACTCTACTTTACTGGTTTCGTTTCTACCCTTTCCATTGCTGCCAGCTCCCAGTCTTTTTCAGTGCACAGCACCACCTTGAAATTTTGTGATTTGATGTACGCATACTTTGAAGTTGAAATTCGAATTACATGATCAGATTTTTGTTCCACATGTTCTATTTATTTTGACTTCAAGCACAACCCTACCGATGAAGGGAAAGAAGCAGCAGAGAGACACCTACTGAGTCTAATGACTGTTAATGTCAGTTCTCAAACAAGAACAATTTTTGTCAAATTGAATATCTCACCTGTTAGTGTTGCTCACTAGCCACTAGACTCGAGTTGTTCGTCCACGAAATTTGCAATATACCACTACGAAACCAGCAAGAGTAGGTAAGTTGGCGTAGAACAACAGCTATGCAAAGCCATGTTCATCTCCGCTTCACTTTGGAAGGCAGTACAAGCACCCTTCATACCTCGACATTGCCTTGGAGTGGAAGCAAATTCACCATGAGTTTTCCAATTCGCTAGAATCGATCTTGGGGTGTTGATCGTGTCTTCTTCATCACCACTGCAGGCTGGACAGCCTTCGGGAAGACATGTGTCACTCTCCTGCTCAACAGACTCCTACATCTAGATTTGGGTACCGTCAGGGAACGAAATAGAGCTGCAAAACACCAAAGTAATTGTTTTCTTCCATTCAATTACACTGCTGAGCATGCACAGCATGGTGACAGCTAAGCAGTACGCACGTCATCAAGCCCAATTTCCAAATATGGAAGGTGTTATTTATGAAATTTGACACGGTTCCTCTTCTCTGATCGGCTCGAGACATAGCTCATCGGAATCAGTGCCCAATTCTCCTTCGGATAAGCCATACTTATTTTTGGCGTTCAGTTTCCCTTTAAACCTGGAAAACTCTACTCTACAAATGTTTATACTGCAATGTATATTGCCATAGCAGTGTCAGCCATACCCTGTACATACAAGTTCATGCTACTATCCTTGAGATACACATCATATCTTACTCCAGTATTGTGTGACAAATGTAGAAATGCCCGTTGCAGCCGCTGTGTGCTATCACGTCAAAGCATGAAGCATCACAAATTTAGCCATGGTTCGACCTGAGCAAGCACAGACCGCAGCTCCTTCCACATTGTTTCCCATTGTGGCCGGCTTTCCAGTAGCCCACAGGATTTATCCTGCCTGAACATGGCAATGTGTCCAAAATCCGATGTGTTTGTGTGTACGTACGAGCACGCGGGCGCACGTGTTTGTGCATGTGTGTGTGTGTGCGTGTGTGTGTGTTTGTGCACGTGGATGTGTGTATGGGGGGCGGGGGTGTTGTTGTTGTAGTTGTTGTAGAAGTTTATTTAACGTCGCACCACAAACAGGCTATTTCGCCTCCTTTGATACATGTGGACGACAGGGTGAACATGGATGTGCATGCACGTGTGTGTGTGTGTGTTTGTTGTGTGGGTATATACATACTCAGCGGGACAGCATGCCAAACTAGAGTGTGCCCATTCATCCCAAGCTCATGAACGGGATCCTACCTCTGCCAGTATTTGTATTATATTACCATCAGTAATATGCAGCAGTGTTGTAATGATCAAATTCATCATGGTTAAGATCTACAATGTACTGTCGTGAACATTGAAATCAGATGGGATGACCGGGACCGGCACCCTATACTGCTTTTAACGCGTACACACACTATAGTTTATGTACACACACAGTAGTTAACGTACACACCATAAATCAGCAAGGTAATCACGATGATGGAAAACATATCTGTGAAAAGTAGTGAGACTGATGATTTGACGACGATAGGCTAGTGACTCTTGGGAGCATTTAGAATTTAAGACAGATTTGGAAGAAGTGTTATCAAATGCAATTTTTTTCTTTTTCAGTAGAGCTCTAGCAAACCTTGCCTGTAATTGATCAAGAGTGGTCATGGGTTTCTTATTAGATCCAAACGACCACACCGTACAGCTATATTCGATCACAGGATACATAAAGATGGCCCAGCTGTGCTCACGGCTGCAAGGTCAGCGCCACGTGGCCGCTTGACTTTTCAACGGATTTCAAAGCCCACGACAGTACCTGTCCCTCCAGGAATCCGCGGGCAGAAAGTTGAAATTCTGCGCAGAATTCTGCGCCCACAAATCGCTACATTATGCGGCGGATAGCGTGAATTCTGCGGCAATACTGCGGTATTTCTGCGGCGCTGCACAGGCGAAAAGACATGGCTATATGCTATGTTCAAGTATCAATAAAAATTATTTAGTGGTCGAAAACACACGATAGGCTCAATACAGTAACGAAGACAACTCCCTCGACTTTGAATGCAACAAAATAGCGACAGGACACTGCACTGTGCATGTGCATGAATATGAAGCGCGTGCTCGCATTGCCCCCAAACCGTGATTTTCGCGATTCTGCGAAGAAAACTGTGAATTCCGCGGGATATTCAAAAAACATGAATTCCGCGGAATTCCGCGGATTTTGCCGCGGCCGCGGATTCCTGGAGGGACAGCAGTTCCTTCAAGTGTAGATAAATGGAGGTGGCAAACGTCACGGACCATGATTCTGTGGCGATACTGCGCCTAGAGATCACTGGCCGTGCTCATGGGCAGGCGCAAGAGTATGTAACGTCTGCGGGGGCGGGGTCTGAGCCCTCTGGATTTATTATTAGTATTATTGCAAATAGCCCTGAGTAATTACACGAATGTATAAAAACCAGCATTTGCTTCCGGAAAGGATTCACAAGAATAAGATAAAAACTAGGGCTCAAACGGTCACGGTTTTACCCCTGACGGTTAACTGCTAAGCTAACGGTCGGTTAACCGGTTATAACCTATAAGCCACGGCAATCCTGCGGACTCTTTTTTAACCGTATATTTGACTATACTTATTCAAAAAATGTACCCTATTCAGTGCAACGCACACATGTACATTCTCTTGCATGCTCATTCATACATACTCTCACACCAAGAGACCACACATGACCGGCAACGTCTGTAGGGCCTTCCCTATCGAAATAATAAATTCTACTACTACTACTACTACTACCGAGTTGACAGCCCAGAAATTGCGTACGCGTGCGACAGCCCACGAAAGTGCACACTTTGCAACGACCTGATACTTGAAAAATTGACTGAAAAGTTACTGCGTAACCGTTATCTTTATCGGTTAACCGTTAATTCTTCGTAACCGGTCTGCAACCGGTTAATCGGACTAACCGTTTGAGCCCTAATAAAAACACCATGGCTCAATGCAACTGCACATAGGAAAAGCTGCTTCTATTTTCAAGTTCAAGTGGCAATGTCAGAAAGACGGTAGACTAGCCGAGAGTTTCCAGTGCGTACAGATCCTGAACAAGCCACACACGCTCTGGACTTGGACGAGCAGATAGTTTAGATTTTCCACGAGCGCAATGGCACAGTGTTCAAAACGGGCGCGGGGGGGGGGGGGGGGGGGGCGGGTGGGGGTGCCAACAGCAAGTTGCAGTGTCGGCATGCTGGTATCGTACAGGCACGCCTAGACTGCATGTGATTTCAGGCTTCATATTTCAACACTTTGTATGAAGTAAGCGTAGTACTTCAAGTATAAAGCATCTTGAATAGTGACACAATTAATAATAGCCGGTAAGAAGTTGTGATGTCATAGCAGTACAGCAGGTAAGTAGTAGTGATGTCATTGCAGTACAGCCTGTAAGTAGTAATGATGTCATGGCCAATATTTTGCTTGTAACTTGAAAATATTCACAATAAAGTCCCTCTCCATGCTTCCAGGATGGTGGAACGGGCGGAACTTGAAATGGAAAAGAAACTGTGAACGGGCCTGGCTGAGAAAGAAAAAGAACTTCTTGGTGATGGCTTGGAAAAATGAACATTGGCTATGAGAGCCGTCACTGATAAGACTGGAAGATAGAACATAGATTGGGCCTAGCTAGGGCACTAGTGAATTTGCCACAAAAAACCCATAGCTATGTGAATAAAAATAATAATATCAGTGGCATACTTGAAGTAGTGAGGGTAGGTAAGTGTAATTTGTCATGTGACCAGTATTGATGGTGGATATCCTAAAATACATATACATGTAGAGTAGTGATGATACTAGCATTGAAACTGGAGAATGGGACGGTCAAGGGTGGACTGTGAGGAGACTAGCATTGAAACTGGAGAATGGGACGGTCAAGGGTGGACTGTGATGATACTAGCAATGAAACTGGAGAATGGGACGGTCAAGGGTGGACTGTGAGGAGACTAGCATTGAAACTGGAGAATGGGACGGTCAAGGGTGGACTGTGAGGAGACTAGCATTGAAACTGGAGAATGGGACGGTCAAGGGTGGACTGTGAGGAGACTAGCATTGAAACTGGAGAATGGGACGGTCAAGGGTGGACTGGGAGGCGACTAGCATTGAAACTGGAGAATGGGACGGTCAAGTGTGGACTGTGAGGAGACTAGCATTGAAACTGGAGAATGAGACGGTCAAGGGTGGACTGGAAGGAGACTAGCAACAGCAGTGAGGATGCACACATGCACATGCACTGCCGACTTAACCTTTTTACTGGCATTTCTTCGGTTCGTCCGGAATCAGAACGTTGGCTGGGGTGGTGCCAAGTAGCATGGGGTGGCGCTCGTATGACTTTGATTTACGGAAGCGACTGTCCGTGCCATACAGAAAATCAAAGATTCCTGCATAGCAGCAGCCAACATAAACAAAAAAATAATGTCAGTTTTTATTATTACACAGTAGGTATCGGTTATAGCGTGGGCGTTTGAAAAACGACTTTCTATTTTTATATCCGATATTTATTACACACGATATTGAAAATCAAGTGTGACATATCATGTGCATGTGCGCAGAGTCAGGAAGATCATCCTACATGCAATGTAGTGCTACTGTGCATGCGGCTGGTCATAGTCCCATAGCCTCATAGGCTGACCATTGTGGCTATGCAACATGAGTTACATGACCACAACAGTTGAACCTGCAGCATTACGTAGTCTACGACCCAACGCGAGTCAGATCAGAACTGCATTGAACAGATGTTATTACTACAGGCGATATACTTTGTACTAATCTGCTATGTTTTGCTACACAAAGTCCATTTTTAGGACCGATATATTCGACTGTCCGATAAAATTGCTTGTAAGAATAAATGTGCACTTGAAACCCATGTTATGATTATGAAAACATGAGAGTTCATTCTTGTAGGCAGTATATTCTTTTACACGACCACGCTATAACCGATACGCACTGTACGAGGTACACAAACTCACCGGCAGGCACATGGGGCTAGCATGGAGTCAGCAGTACATGGGGCTAGCATGGAGTCAGCAGTACATGGGGCTAGCATGGAGTCAGCAGTACATGGGGCTAGCATGGAGTCAGCAGTACATGGGGCTAGCATGGAGTCAGCAGTACATGGGACTAGCATGGAGTCAGCAGTACATGGGGCTAGCATGGAGTCAGCAGTACATGGGACTAGCATGGAGTCAGCAGTACATGGGGCTAGCATGGAGTCAGCAGTACATGGGGTTAGCATGGAGTCAGCAGTACATGGGGCTAGCATGGAGTCAGCAGTACATGGGGCTAGCATGGAGTCAGCAGCACATGGGGCTAGCATGGAGTCAGCAGTACATGGGGCTAGCATGGAGTCAGCAGTACATGGGGCTAGCATGGAGTCAGCAGTACATGGGGCTAGCATGGAGTCAGCAGTGCATGGGGCTAGCATGGAGTCAGCAGTACATGGGGCTAGCATGGAGTCAGCAGTGAGACAGTGCTGGTGAGGTCTGCCATGCTCAACTGACCAGAGGTCTCGGCATCATCGAATGGCAGACTCACCAAACTGAGGGTATTGTAGTGCATTGGATCAGAATCAGACAATACCTATAGGAACATTCATGGTCAGAAGAGACAACAACCATGACACTGGTATGCAAGTGAACTGCTGGAAACAGGGAGTATTTCTTTTCTGGTGTTGGGGGCAGGGACTGGGGGAGTAATATTCTTCTCTGTGCAAATTACCAAAAGTGAGACGGAAACAGGGAGTATTTATTTTTCTGTTGTTGGGGGCAGGGACTGGGGGAGTAATACAGTCGTCGCCAAAGAAATCCAGCCAATGCCATGGATACATGTACAGTGACATGGTGGTTGTCGCATTCGCATTCATGCATTTAAAGTCATTAGAGGGTCTACCAGCATAGCACTGAACTGAAGCAGTCCGCGGCTCTGCACTCTGCCTGCTGCAGTCGAGTCCAGCACAGCACAGATTGTGAACTGCAGAGTGCAGGTCCGGCAGCAGAGCATGTGCCGTGCACAAGGCAGTACTACTACTACTAGAGAGTCTACTACTACTAGTGCATTCCTACTACTGCAGGCGCATGGCACCGCCGTTGGCAGTGGTCCGGCCAGGAGGGGGGGGGGGTTATTTTTTTTGAAATTAGGGTGCAAAATCCTGCATTCTGGGCACTTTTGGCATTGTTTTACTATGGTGGTCGTGGTCGGGCCAAGAAGTGGTCCGGCCAAAGCCGGACCGACCGGAGCGGCTGCTACGCCCCTGCACTGTACTACAGCTGTAGCAGTGCGCCAATGGAAAGCGCCACATTAAGTGAATAATAGCAGGAAGGGACAAGAGAAGAGCTAGAGAGAAAAGGGAACTTACCAAGGAGGAGTCCAGGTGAAAAGGAAATGTAAAGATTAGATCATTGAAAGGATCGGTCATGCAATACGATTAATTCCCATCGTGGATAGGATAATTATTCAACTGACATCCCTACACAAGAAGTAGGTCGTTATCATTATCAATGAAATTTTTTACCAAGCATGCCTACTACTAGCGCATGGCACTAGCAGTGGCAGTGCATGCGGCCACGTACAGCTACCCGTAGCTAGCATAGCATTAGCCGGATTTTTTGGAGATGACTGTATTCTTCTCTGTGCAAATTTCGAAAAGTTAGCACGTGGCTTTATACATGCAGTCAGAACTTTCTTGGGGGGGAGGGAGTATGTCCTTTTAGGGGTACAGTTGGGGAGGGAGAGGGGGGGGGGGGGGCAAGTCAGATTTTTGCGTTCACCGCCTCCCATGTATGTGCAGTACAGCTACCAATCAATCGAGAATGCACACACTACGCTACTAACTTTGCGTGATGGTAGTCGTGGTACTCGTTGGAAGGCATGAATGGCAGGCGGAAGCCGCAGTGTTCGACGGACACGGAGGCCAGCGAGATGCAGGCCCACAGCAGCAGCAGCATACATGAGATTCGAGTAGCACTGGGCCAGCCATTACGGGCAATATGTTGGAGAGGTAATGCTCGACCGGGTGACAGTACAGCCCAGAGATGCTGATCGGCGCAGTCCACTCGTGGTGAACCTTGTGAACGTGTTTTTTCATCCCTGCCAAGCTCCTCAAGAGGCTTCTGCTCCTGGACTATCCTTTCTGCTTTCACTCACTGTAATAATCGCTGGCAACCATGGCCACGTCATTGGCCACAGAGCTCGCTAGCAGTGCTAGTGGTCACTCGTCCCCTGTCCGAAATTTCCAGTCCACTGTCGCATACTCGTGGACCATACAGGTACCGAACGGAACTGCACGGAAACCGTAGAACAACCAGACACGTGCGCTATTGTTACGTTAGGCAACGATTTAGATCTGTTGACCATCTAGCCACGCACTACATTTCCATTCGGCGTTTGAATGGATGTTCAAATAATATCCAACACGCAGTTCAGTTCAGTTGGCTCAGTCCTCCAGTCTGCGGTCATCAACATCATGCCATTCATGGCGATCAACACGCTTTCTCTTACAACTCGGTCTGGCTTTCTTCAAACTTGACCATTATCACTGCCATACTGGGACCAACAGTTTACTCGATTCATAAAACATTAATTCTCGGTTCACTCCATAATGGAAACTTATTGCGCTCGTAGATCATGTAGATCCACTCTGCATTCATCAGCCAATAATCCAAGGAACCGAAAAAATCCTATCTACTAATCGAATCAGCTGTCAGATCAACGCTTTCTTCGTGCACACATGCGCCATGGCAACCATGACCGGAGTCGGAGACTGGCGCCGGAGAATCGGAGACCTCATATCACCCTCACTCACTGACTCAGGCCCAACGCCGGCCAAATGCGAAGGCTACTGCCAGTACTGGCTGCATCGACCGCGTTGACGTTGCCATCTCCTTCCGACTATTTTTATTATTTTTTTACTATTCTCTTAGTGCTGATACTGATAAAGTGATAGCGAAGAGCCCAGGCGATCGAGCTTATGCTGAACAGTTCAAGCGTGATTTTCGAAGAGTTGTTTGCCTTCATGAAATTCGCTCTGTACCTGAGCCACAACTGATGAACGGCTTGTACTTGAAAGTACGTGTTATTGCTTGAGATAAGACAACTCCTTGATCCTAAAAAGTTATGCAGTAACTCGATGTCGATCGTGATCAGTCCGCAGTGCGAGTGAACTGTGGTCACGCGGACAGGCTAGAGTGTGAACAATGGCAGACAGGGTGCGCTATAACATAGCCTTCTTACTTTCCAATCTAGATGCATCCGTGATCTTGGAACTCTTGCTGGAGAATGATGTGCTGGACGTTGATGAATATGATACTGCCTCCAGCAAGGAAAGCGTGAAGTCTGATCTGACAAAGTATGTGGTGAGGCTGATGCTGAAGAAAACGGACGAACAGGTGGATGCGTTCCTGAGGCTCGTGCAGCACAGCCAGCCTCATGTAGCGGAACATGTCGCCATTACCATGGCGAAGCGCCGCGGTGCAACTGCCAGTGGGAAAACTGACCGTCCGACGAAGCCAATGTCAGCAGACCGTGAGTCAACACGTGGCTCTTCCTCCGGTAAGTGTTCACATTGACTACAGTGGCGTAGGAAGATTGGGGGGGGGGGGGGGGAGCTCGTTGAACAATCGTATAACTAGAGTCGTGGACATGGAAAACCGGTCGCACGTCTAGCGGCCACAGGGCGCTGGCCATGCAGCCGTGGGTAAGTCGTACACCCATGTTGCAGCGCGCTGGTCGCATCGGATCAAGTGCTGTTCTGTACCCGCTGAGGGCGCCGGCCCGGGTCAATCCATGTCCACGACAGTACATGTCTTGTACAGATCTACTCAATGAAATCCAGTCACAGCTTCACTCAAGTACGCGCTGGGCGTTGCGCAGCCCTAGACCTGCAAACTATGGGCTGCAAAATGGTGCAAGGCACAAACTCGAGTGACGCGACTGGATTTCATTGAGCAGCACTGCCAGTACTTACTTGTTTGCAGTGAGAAGTGCTTATAGAGATCAATTAGTTTATGCATTCACATCAATCGTATTGACAGCTGACCCTGGGAATGCAGTGGGTTCAGTTAAATGGACAATCCTGAGATTATAAGCAGTTCTACATGATGATTCTGTAGATCTACAAGAAATGCAGGTGCCACCGGCGTGAAGCACTGTCATGGGTCACTAGATTATTGCTAGGGAGTTCAGTTCCAGCCTGGGTCAGGTGAAAACTGCAGTCACAACTCGCGTGTACATTTTCAATGGGCCCCGCGTGAGATCTCTTTGGCCTGACTTTGAGCCCGCTTCTATCTGATCCCGTGGCCAGTACTCCCTTGTCGATGCTATTTTAGGTAGCTGAGGTCATTGCCTTTCCATTGATGCCACATATGCCATGCTTGAACAAAAAGGTGGAGCCGCAGCTTGCACAGAGGCATAGCGAAGTACTGATCTCGACCAGATGCATACTCGGCCCCGGGAAGTACACCCAATTTTCGTGTTCAGCAGCCTCGAATTAGTCTAAAACAAGAGCATTCTAGAACATTTAGCCTCGCACTTTATCGCGGTAGAAGGAAAATAATTATCACAGAAGACAGCCCACAGCGATTTCCCGGTGGTGGGCGTAAAAATCGAGTGAATTGCGCGCACGCTGTAGAAGCTGTGACGGTGAAAGCATGTGAGTTGTGCAAGCAGGCACACCCGGCATGCATGTACGCACCAAATAGTGCAGTGCTGGACGGGAACCACACCGTCCCCATTCATACTTGAATTACTTTCTGTGACTGCTCAGGCGTTTATTTACCATACTTCAATCATAACTTTAACTTTGGTTTAGGAAAAGTAAAAAGTAGTTCATTGTGTCCGTTCCCGAAGGGAACTCACGACAGCCGCTAAGACCCGGTAAACCCTAGCGGCATTGCCTTTGGATTGCCTTGGAATTTATTTTTCATACTTTCGCAGGTTGTTTCTGAAACCTTCCCGGTTCACAAAAAGTAGCGTTTCATGCGAAACTCGCGATTTTTCGAGTGAAGTTCCTACTTCAGTATTATTGCTTTGCATCGTAGCTGCTAATGAGGGTTGTTTTCTCAAGTTCTGCAGTTTACTTCGAAATCCTTAACATTGCTTTAGTCGGAGTCAGTTTTTTTTCTCATTGCTACGCCGCTGCTATAGTGCAGCATTCCAGAGAATACCACTTTCCAGACAAAATGTTCGACTGAGACTTAGTACAGTGTCAGTAGTTGTTGGCGAGCGAAGATTGCAAGGTACTTTGGTGGGAGTCATAAATTTGAACATTTCCCTGGAAATATTGAGCCTGGGGTTACCAGCCATCATTCTATGACCTCCAAAAGATCTCACCAAGTCAAGATGGTCATCAACACCATTGTGGAAAATCCGCTACTGATCAGTGGAACATAACTTTGTTACTAATTGTAGAGTTCTACAACAACCACTAGAGAGGTTTTGCTGAGCGAACGTTCGCGTAAATTTTCGATTGAAGTCGCGAGAAGGAACTTCGCTCGAACGTTCGCAGCTGTGAACGCGAAAGTTGAAGGAAACGCGAAACAAATTTTCGTAGTAATTTTCGCTGATCACGGACCAGTGACTATTGGTGAACCACCCTCATGCAATGTTTGGTGCTTCATCTTTCACAATCCAGTAGATCTACTCTTGGCTTGGTCCGCCAGTGCTAGCTTTCCCATATGGCAGCCCGTGTTGCTTCATCTCCGGAACCATCTCCGATCTCCTGCCCCGGGCGTCTTTTCAGAGTGGGTTATATCAATGATGCCTGTTTTCTTGAATTTCAGGTGTTGATGCGCCGGATTACAGCAGAGGCAAACCCGTTTGTCTGTGGGTGTCCGGTCATGGACACCGTAGTCAAAGAGTTCTCGTCGCAGGGTGTTGCCACTTTCAAAAATAAATAATCGGATGAAGACGACTTCTCAAACAAGCGCGAGTACACTCGTACTTTCCTGGAGCGAAAATCATGCAAAATACAAACTTCGCGCAAGCGTTCGCAGAAATATTTGCAAGCCCAGACTTGAAAATCCATGCAAAGTTTCGCTCTGCACAACGTCTCTACTAGCAGGAGATTAGCTCGGGATTCTTGTTTGAAATCGGGGCGTTTCTCTCAAAACGTAAACGCATCCGGTGTGCAGGAATGGAGAGAAAGAAAAAAAGGACCAATGAACTAAAAGTTATGCTATAATATCCACTTACACCACCAGTTACTAAACAATCAGCTCATGCCACTCCTTGTGTTATTTCTATAACTAAGAACCTTCCAAGTTGGAAGGCTGTTGAAGTGCGCATCCAAGATGTGCTAGAGCTGTTAGCCAGTTAGTTGTAGAATTTCAGTACCGTCGGTCAGTGTAGAGCAATTTTATCGCATGAGCTGATTGTTTAGTAACTGGTGGTGTTAGTGGACATTATACAGTCAAATCTGTCGTAAGCGACTGCACCTTGGTGCAAAAAAGCGGTCTCTTACGGCAGATGGTCTCTTACGGCAGATGTATGGTAAATCCGGCATACCGGACATGCATATATGCTTCCATGTACTCAAATCGACGAGAATAATGTGATTTTTAATATCATTTTATTGGATATTCAATAGAATATAGTATAGGGGTGCCAGGGCCAGTCGATCGCACTTGCAAGACAGCGCATTTTCACACCTTGCAGTTGACAGCACACTGGCAAGTACAGTTTCGCACCTGACTGAACGTGGGTCGCGGTCGCTTACAGCAGATTTGAATGCAGCCACCGTGCATGAAATCGCGGTCGCTGGTCGCGCACAGCAGATGGTCGCTCTGGACAGATCAATTTGTATGTGAAACCGTCGGTGCACGGTAAATCAGTCGCTAACGGTAGATGGTCCCCTACAGCAGAGGTCGCTAACGGCAGATTTGACTGTAGCGTAAATTGTAGTTCATTGGTCCTTTTTTCTTTCTTTCTTGCAACGTAAACGTATCCCTCTGTCATTGCTCAGTCCACAGAACACTACCAGTACTGAGAAATTTTGATTTATCATCTTTCTATAAATATTTTAGACAAACATAAAATAAATAAATTTCACGGTTCGCGTGAGACTCGGCTGGAAGCCGAGTTTTCCGCATCGGCCGTGGGAACGCCACCACCCTCTAGGATCAAAGGCGTAGATGCAGCGCCTAAACGGTGGGAGACAAACATATCGGTGATCTATCCCCCATCCGATACAAAACATACACGACCAGTGACGCTGGCACGTGTCACCCATGTGGAACATTTGGGGCTGGGAAAATGGAAGTAAGTATTAGTTTAGAAGACAGCGCGGCATGAAGAAGTGCCCAGAACTGGGCAGAAGCTGGCCAGCCACTACTGTACCAGCATGATTTTCACACCAATGTTCAACTCAAAGGTTCAACTCGAGTGACAGGAACGCTGTAAAAGGTGTAGCCTGCAGGCACGGTGCACCGGTGACCAGGTGACAAGTGTACGCATCAGCACGTAACCGCTTACTCACCGTGTTCGATTGGGAATAAGGGCCGAACGCTGCATCGCAGCCTTTTCGGACCAAAACCAGTCGACTAAGCGGCCAAAAGACTACAAC